TGTATTATTTATAATGTTGTGGGATTAGTTTGAGTTTTGTGTCCTTTTGTTGGGTTTGGGTAAATTGTGGTAATTTGGTGGGTTTGTGAGTTTTTAAGGGTGTGTTAGGGGGATATAAGAGGGGGTGGAGTAGGCCAGTGGGGATGTTCTTTTCTTGTGGATGAGGTAATATTTTATTTTATTTGTTTTGTTTGTTTGGTGTTGTTCTTTTTTTTTTTATTTATTATTATTTGTAGTGGGGTGTGTGTTGGACTTATCCATGTAAAATGTGTGTGCCCCTTTTTTTATTAACTATAAAGAGAGAGTGGTGAGTTAGATATAAATATTTTTGTTTTGATTAGATTTATTGAAAGGTGATTAATTTTGAAAAAAAAAAGGTGATTGCGTAGTTTGAGTGAGATTTTAAGTTTATATTTAAATAGTATTTTAAATATAATGATTAAAGTCGATACGATGTAAAAGTATAAGAGATGTTATTGAAATGATAGATAGTTAAAATTATGAGAGTTGATAAATATAATAAATAAAAAGTAGTGTGTATGTGAGGATGATTGAGTGGTACTCCATCTTTTTTTTAATAAATGTCATTTTGAAAAGTTTCACAGTAATTAAGAATTTTTTTTTGCCAATAATAACCCTCATTAATGAGCATAGAGATGAATGTTTTAAGAAAAGACAAATAGTGAATATGAAAAGATGTATATTTATTAGCTTGATGAGGGTAATAATTGAAAATATATGTACAAAAGATTCAAAACATTATTTATTTGGTTAATTATTGTTAATGCCAAAATGACATTTAAAAAAAACATGAGGTAGTACTATTTAATTATATTGATAATATTAAAGAGAGTTGAGTTGGATTAAAATTGAGTTGGGTTTTTTAATAAAAAGGTTGTAAAAAAAAATCTGGTTAGGTAAACTAGAGGCATGCATGAATACAAATATATTCACTTAAAATGACTTTTTTTTATTAATTATTATTAAATTTGAAAAATGTAGTATGGTTAGTTGTGAGCGAATATAAAAATATAATATTTAAGGTCGTTTTGATGTAAAAGTATGAGAGAGATGATGTGATGTACGTAGTAGAAAACTCAGACATTCATTTTGGGAGGATAACCTCATTTTCATTAATTGGAAAAATTCAGGAAAAAAGCTTATAGACCCTACTACGTAATATGCATTGTATGTACGACTTTTACATGTCATACACATGTAAAAGAAATGACGTCATTCGCAGCAACAAAATGCAAAGCTTAAACTTAAAGAAACGTAATAACATAAACGCGACTAAAGGCAACACTAAAACAACGAAAATAACTAGCTGATCAAATAAAGAAAATAACACATCAATACATGTGATCGCATTCCCAACACCCCCTCCTCAAGTTGGGTTGTGGTGAGTTTCTCGCACTCCCAACTTGGCCAGCAAATCTCGGAAGGGCGATCCATTGAGTACTTTTGTGAAGATGTCCTCAAGTTGTTGCTTCGAGCTCACAAAAGAGGGCAACACAAACGCATCATTGTACTTGTCCCGCACAAAGTGACAGTCAAGTTCAAGGTGTTTGGTACGTTCATGGAAAACTAGGTTGGCGGTAATGTGAAGGGATACTCGATTACCACACCATAAAGGAAATGGTAACTCCAACTAAAAATCTGGAGCAATATAGGAGATGCACAATAATTTTGAAACAACTGAGCTCATGGCTCTGCACTCGGCCTCGGCTGATGAATTTGAATTAATCTGCTGCTTTTTACTCTTCAAAGATATTAAACAATTAACTAAAAACACACAGTACCCCATTATCGATCTCCTTGAATCCTTACAGGAGGCCCAGTCTGCATCATTATATGCATTGATGGAAAAAGAGCTGTTATGAGAAAAGAAAATTCCAAGAGATTGAGATCCCTTCAGATGCTTCAATATATGTTGAGTTGCATCCCAATGTGAAGTGTGAGGAGAAATCACAAATTGGCTAAGCTGCTGCACTGAGTATGTGACATATGGCCCGGTCATGTTCAAATACAACAATCTCCCAATGAGCCTTCTATATATTGATTCGACTGATCAAGGGTGCACTATCCTATAATTGTAATCTTATCCCATGTGGTAATGGTGATGTTGTTGATTTGCGAATGTGAATATTTAAATCACCAAGAAGGTCAAGAATGTATTTCCTCTTAAATAAGAAAGCTCAATTTGAGGTCCTATCAATCTCAATCCCAAGGAAGATTTGGCCAGCCCCAAGTCCCTTATGGTAAAGGCCTTGTCCAAGTAATTCTTAAACTCAGTGATCAATTTCTCACTAGAACCAGTAATAAAGATGTCATCTACATAAACCAATCTTGTCATGAAATGACCTCCTCTTTTCATAGTAAATAAGTAGTTATCATGTGAAAACTTTGTGAGATTAAAAAGGATAATTTCTTACATAGACCACTATTCCACTCCATTGAGGCTTGCTTAAGTCCCTATAAACTCTTTATCAACTTACATTCCTCACCTAAATTTGCTTAAGTGATTGTGGCGGTAGCAAATAGACCTTCTCAGATAGATAGATAACCATGCAAGAATGCATTGTTAACATCGATTTATTTGATGTATTCACCAATCATGCATCCAGCAATAAACATTCTCACAGTCGCTAACTTGGCCACTGGTGGAAACACATCAAAGTAGTCTACTTATGCTATTTGATTGTATCCCTTGGCAACAAACCGTGCCTTGTATCTATCCACACTTCCATCAGCATTCCTTTTCACCTTATACACCCATTTTGACCCTATAGCTTTCTTACCGTTGGGTAATATGGTGATCTCTCATGTGTTTCTGTTCTTCCAATGCATCAATTTCAGTCTTCAGAGCTTGCATCCATGCTGGATTTTTACTGGCCTCATTATAGTGATTAGGCTCTTTGATCAAAGAAACATTTCCCATTAAGATTTCAAAGTCAGTGTCTAAAGGTGCATCATCTTGTGTGCATACATAGTCTTGTTGCCACCTATGTGGCCTCATAACCCTTTGACTCATCCTTAAACCATGTTGTCTTTCAACCATTGATGGTAGAGTATCACCATTTGAGGGCAGATTCATGTTTTTCCATCATGAACTTCTTCTGGACCTACAACTGATAGGATGTTGTGTTTCTCCCAGTGCCTTCTTCTTATATGGAAAATCATTTTCAAAGAACATCACATCTATTGTTGTGAACACTCCTCTTTTCTTTATATCATAAAGCTTTTGTCCTTTTCTTCCAATTTCATATCCAAAAACACAAAGTTCTTATTCCACTAGGATCCAACTTAGATTTGTTTGGCATTGTGTCTGCAGCATAAGTTAGACAAACAAAGATCTTTAGCCTTGTGTAGTCTGGTTTCTTATTGTACAACCTCTCAAAAGGTGATTCCTAATTTAGTAATGAGCTTGGAATTCTGCTGATCGCGTATGTTGTTGCTAACACTGCAAATGACCAAAATATCAAAGGCATTCTAAATTGAAATAATAAGCTTCTAGCAAACTCTAGCAAGTGTATGTGCTTTCTTTCTGTAGTTCCATTTTATTGAGGTGCATACAAAGGATGTCTCATTAACAATCCCCTTTTCACAAAAGAAATCCTGCAATTCCTTCTCCAAAAACTCCCTCCCACTATCTGATCTCAGTCTTCTCACTTTACAGTTAAACTGTGTCTCAACCATATTAATGAAGGATTTAATCAACTTATCAGCCTGTGATTTATGATCCATAAGGTATATCCATGTCCCTCTGCTCAAATCATCCACCAACGCCAAGAAAAAAAGTGTATTAGTAAGATTTTCTTCCTTACATGGACCCCAGATGTCCATGTGCACCAACTCAAAGATCCCCCTAGCTTGTAAACCACTATTATGAAAGGGTTGTCTATGTTGTTTAGCCCTTAAACATGCATCAAACCCATGTATCAAGCCTTCATTCTTTTTGTTACAGGCTTTTTTAAAGATGTTCACATGTATTAAGGTTGAATAAGATGCATGTCCTGGCTTCCTGCGCCAAGCCTCAAATGTCATGTTACCAGACACCATTTTGTTTTTACTTTGACCATCAGATTCACCCTTCAGCACATACAGATTCACATTCATCTTTATATATTCAATAGTTCTGTTATTCTCTTTATCCTCCAGATAACAGTGTGAACCAGTAAAGGGACACCTCAAACCTCCTTTGATGCATTGTTGAGTAATTGAGAGCAAGTTATATTTGAAGTCAGGCATATATAGAACATCCTCTAACCTGACAACATTATTTATATTCACCATTTCATTATTATACACTGACTTTAGTGATCCATTTGTGAAGCATATAGATATTGGTTCCTTAAGCTTCTCCAAATTCCTCATGATGTTTGAATTTTTGCAAATATGTCTACAGACTCCAGTGTTAACAATCCATTCACAAGAATTACCACTATGAGTAGTTGTCATTGCGTGTTTCATATCATACTTATTTTCTGTTTTGTTGAACCTGATTAATTGTGCATAGTCCAATTTCCCATCAGCTATCTCTTTCCCTGTGATATATTGAGTTAGTTCATTTAGCTTTTGAACAATAGCTGCCATGTCACTCATCTTTGACCCATCAGTACTAAGTTAGTTCTCTGGGCGCTGCGAGGGCGCGGAAGGGCCTGCGAGGTCGCGAGTGGCGTCCGCGAGCGCGCTGCGCGATACGCCACGCGGAAATGGTGTTGCTAGAGCGCTGGGCAAGGGTGCGCGCGAGCGCGCGAAAACGCTGGCGGGCGCGCGAGTGGTAAGCGCGAGGTCGCGACCGGGCATGCGTGCGCGCGAGTTGCTGGTCGGGTTGTCCTTCCATACTTAGGCATATTTGGAAGATTTTCACCCAAATTTTCAACCCGACTCACAAACATTATAAATACTCGATTTCGCTCAAATTTTTTTCGGCTCGGCTCT